AGAGAGAGAGAGAGAGGAGAGAGAGAGAGGAGAGAGAGAGAGAGAGAAGAGGAGAGAGAGAGAGAGAGAGAGGAGAGAGAGAGAGAGAGAGAGAGAGAGAGAGAGAGAAGAGAGAGAGAGAGAGAGAGAGAGAGAGAGGGAGAGAGAGAGAGGAGAGAGAGAGAGAGAGAGAGAGAGAGAGAGAGAGAGAGAGAGAGAGAGAGAGAGAGAGGGAGAGGAGAGAGAGAAGAGAGAGAGAGAGAGAGGGAGAGAGAGAGAGAGAGAGAGAGAGAGAGAGAGAGAGAGAGAGAGGAGGAGAGAGAGAGAAGAGAGAGAGAGAGAGAGAGAAGAGGAGAGAGAGAGAGGAGAGAGAGAGAGAGAGAGAGAGAGAGAGAGAGAGAGAGGAGAGAGAGAGAGAGGAGAGAGAGGAGAGAGAGAGGGAGAGAGAGAGAGAAGAGAGAAGAGAGAGAGAGAGAGAGAGAGAGAGAGAGGAGAGAGAGAGAGAGAGAGAGAGAGAGAGAGAGAGAGAGAGAGAGAGAGAGAGAGAGAGGAGAGAGAGAGAGAGAGAGAGGAGAGAGAGATAGAGAGAGAGAGAGAGAGAGAGAGAGAGAGAAGAGAGAGAGAGAGAGAGAGAGAGAGAGAGAAAGAGAGAGAGGGAGATATTATTATATTATTATATATATATAATAATATATATATATATATATATATATATATATATATATATATATATATATATATATACATGCACATATATAATGTACACCAGTGTGTTAGTCTGCATAACGCTGTCGCTGCAAGATGATTGAAGGCGGGCTCCTTATCCTCAGGACGACCTGCATCAGCCTGCCGCTGCAGAGCAAATGGCTTTACGTCGGCACGGAGAAGGGCAACGTGCACATTGTCAACATCGAATCTTTCGTCGTCTCCGGCTACATCATCAACTGGAACAAGGCCATCGAGCTGTAAGTGAGCCTCGCCGTCGGCTGGCAAGCACACATGTGCCAGACGTGTGCGGCGGCACAGTCTAACTGGAAGCCCACCTGGATGTCTCGCGGGCTAGTCCACGTCGCAGGCTGTCTTGCGGCTCCGGCCGCCTGTCAGGCGGCGCAGTCTACGGTTCAGGCGGCCTGCTGGGCGTGCTCGCCGGCACAGTGCGCCGCCCAGGCTGCGGCTGCGGGCCGCCGCCGCGGGTTATCGAGCTCGCGGCGGCCGGGCGGCCACGTCGCCGCCCGGCCGCCCATCTGCCGATCGTATGGGGCCGCAGATGGGCCGTGCGTTGGGCTTTGTGTCGCGGCGCGCTGTTACCGGCCGAGATTGTCCCGGAGCGGCGGCGAGCTGCCGCCTCCGGGCTCGCTATTGACCTGCTTGGGAAGGCGGCGGCGGCCCGGTCCCCCGAGTCGCCCGGCCGCCAGTCCCGCCGCCGTGTGCCGGTCCCCGGTGGGGCAGCGAGCCACGCGTGCTCGACCCGCGCCTTCGGATCAGTCGTCGGGTGAGGCGCGCCGGCTGCCGCGCGGCGTCGGGCGCCTGGTGCTGCGGCCTGCCTGGCCGCACACCTGTGACCGGCAGGTGCGCGGCGGACGCTGGCTGTCGGCTTGTTTTCCGGCCGGCGGATGAAATATTCAGCGGCGGGTCACTCGGGGCGCGCCGCACGCCGGCCGTGGGGCGGGGCGGAGCCGGAAACGGCGCCGGGTCACGCCGCACCGCCGGCACGCGACGGCCGCGGCGGCCGCCGCCGCCCCCCGGCCCGGCCGCGGCCAGCTGGAGGTCAAGGGCGGGGACGACACACGTGCGCCGCGCCGCCGCTGGGAGGCCGACCGGTACTAACCAGTGTGGTCTGAGCCCCGACAAAGTGGCGCGATTCACTATGCATGCGGGGCGGGGTGTCACGTAACCGTCGTGAGTGCCTGTCGAGCTGTATTGACTCTGGAGCGCCTCTATGAACGGTGTCGCAGTCGGTCACGACTGCGACACCGTCGTGTGGCCCGCGCGGGTGTCGTCAGCCGGGCGCCGTGCCTGTCCATGCCTGTGTGTGTCTGTGTCTGTGTCTGTGCCCCTGTGCCTGTGCCTGTGCCTGTGCCTGTGTCTGTGCCTGTGCCCGTGTCTGTGTCCGTGTCTCTGTCCGTGTCTGCGTCTGTGTCTATGTCTGTGTCTGTGCCTGTGCCTGTGCCTGTGCCTGTGCCTGTGTCAGTGGGCTCACCACCAGCGTATCCACTGATAACGGCGGGTCGGTGGCGGACCATCGCCGAGCGGTGGCCCTAGACCACCCCGCCGATCTCCAGACCCGGCCGAGGGCGCGGGGGAGGCCGCCCGCCTTGCTGCCGCCCGTCGCCACTGACCTCTCGCCGCCTGTCGGCCGCAGGTCTCGGAAGAACCACCCGGGACCGGTGACCTGCCTCACGGACAACCCGGTGGATAGCAACAAGGTGGGTGCACCGCCTGCGCTTCTCGTCCTTCTATTTGAACTCTGTCCCTTCTCTCTGTAATCAACCCTAGTTTACCTGTCTTTTAGCTGGCAACAGAGTGCTATATTATCACCCTGTTGATCTGTACATATCATACTACATCACTCTTTGTCCAGATCTGCTCCCTTATAACTCCCTCTCGCGTCCTTGACATTACGTCTCCCTGCTTCCCGACTCACTTGATTGCCATGTCAGTCTGCCGTGTCACCGTGTCAGTCTGCCGTGTCACCGTGTGTATTGAGGCGTGGCTGGCGGCCGGGCCGGCTAGCCAGCGCAGCCGACGGGTGACGCTGACGGGAGCGTTGGGACAGCTCGGCGCGCGCGCACCTGTGCCGTCGCTGCGACCTCACAGCTGGCGCTCCCGCAGCGCCCAACCAGGCACGGCGTGTCACACAGAAAGCGGACAAACAGAAATGTGCCGCACTTTTGAACCGGCTTGGCGTTGCACGGTTGGCAGATAGGGTGATGGAACTCCCCACTCCGTGCTTGAACCGTCATTTCGATGACGTTCGTGCCAACAGGAAGCATGAGTAACGCGATGCCTTTTCCAGTCACGCGGAGCACACGCCACCGGCCCGGCGCAAAGTGTCCTACTGGTGTGACGTCTGCGTATGCGCATGACCTTCGGACGGCGGCCGTGAGCAGCCGTGCCCGGCTGACCCCCGAGCGGCCGTGAGCGGCCGTGAGCGGCTGTGTCCGGCTGACCCCCGAGCTGCCGTGAGCAGCCGTGCCCGGCTGATCTGCGAGCGGTCGTGAGAGGCCGTGAGCGGCCGTGAGCGACTGTGCCCGGCTGATCTCCGAGCTGCCGTGAGCGGCCGTGCCCGGCTGACCCGCGAGCGGTCGTGAGCGGCCGTGAGCGGCTGTGAGCGGCTGTATCCGGCTGACCCCCGAGGTGCCGTGAGAGGCCGTGAGCGGCCGTGAGCGGCTGTGCCCGGCTGATCTCCGAGCGGCCGTGAGCGGCTATGCACGGCTGACCACCCCCCCCCCGCCGTGAGCGGCTGTGCCCGGCTGATCTCCAGGCGGCCGTGAGCGGCCGTGCCCGGCTGACCCCCGAGCGGCCGTGAGCGACTGAGCGGCTGTGCCCGGCTGACACCCGCCTGTCCGGCAGCTGCTGATCGGGTTCGAGACGGGCCTGCTGGTGCTCTGGGACCTGCGCACCAAGGCCGCTGACGTGCGGTGGCAGGCGGCCGAGCCGCTCCGCTCGCTCAGCTGGATGGGCGACGGCAAACAGTTCGTATCCTCGCACACGGACGGCTCGCTGCACACGTGGCACGTGAAGACACCGCTGCGACCGGCCAGCGTCGTCTTCCCGCACGGTAAGTGGCCCGCCGCCCGCCGCCCACCGCCTGCCACCCCCTTGTCGCCTGTTTGCTTAACGTCGCGGCGTGCTTCAATGGCTCGCTTTTACGAGGCTCCCCCAAATTGGATGTGGGCCCACAAACACGGCGGCGCCAAAATCAAGAAGATATTCATCGTGGGCAGCCGCGGCGCGGTCCGTGAGAAATGCCGGCAATCTGGAGGCGGGCGCGGCTATATATGACGAGAGTTAGCCGGGTATTTGCAATAGTGATCGACGGCCGTGCTGAAGCGCTCGGACCCTGGCTTGATTCATGGAGGGCTCGTGGGCGGATCCCGCCAATGCCAACTGGAAATGGAATACGTTTAATGCGGATGAATGTGTGCTTGCGTTGCATATTGCGTGCGGAACCATCAGCTGGGTGGCAGAACCCAAAATGCATAGCTGTCTAGCCCTCGCGGAATGGAATTAATGCTTACATAATACATCAGTGGGCCACTAGGAGAGTGAAATTGGTGCTTGACTGTACCTGGTGTGACGTGGTGAGCGGGCAGTTAGCATTAAGGAGCGTCAGGGAAGCATCATGAGCCGAAAGAGAGCGCCAGGCGTGGACGTCCGCGTCTGGAGGGAGAGACCCGAGCATGGCTCTTGAACCATCGAACTTCTCGTGTAAACCCGCGTCTTTCACGTTGCTGGAACTCGGTGATGATAACGTCAGTCGGATACACTTAGATAAACTATAGAGATAAGCTTATTAAGAGGGCTTTACATTGGTGGCACTGGACTGCGAAGGTATCCTTGCGTGTGTTCGATGTTGCGTAGCATGTTGTCGATGCCCTGATGCCGCCGTCCAGTTAGTGCCACTCAGCTTCAGCAAATAGTTTTCCCTCGGCCCTCTGCCAAGCAGGATTGCAGACGATTGTATTCGTACCATAGAACGCTATTTCACATCCATCCTTTGCTGGGGTGACTCTCTGCTCAGTTACCGGCTGACCCTGTGGAGCGTCGGGCGAAGCGGATGTGGCCTTCCTTATGCTTAGCAGCGGCGAATCAGATGGTTTTCTCGAGACTCGAGCCCAGGGTCCTTGAACTACCGTTTTTCCATCCAGTCTTCCCGGCCGCAGGGCGGCAATCCTGCGACTGGTATGCCTTACGATTGGCACGACTGAGTGCCAAGTGAGACTGTCGAGCCCGGTCCAGCCCGTGCTAGCGTCCCGTTGACGGAGGCGTGGCGATGCTTTCTGAGCGCCCTCCGGGCCGTCACGGCGCCGGGCGTGCTCTGTTGCGCCGTCGCCGAGCTCGCCCGGAGCGGCCCCGGTCAGTCAGCCCTGCCGAGCCGGAGCGGCTCCGGTCAGTCAGCCCTGCCGAGCCGGAGCGGCTCCGGTCAGTCAGCCCTGCCGGGCCAGAGCGGCTCCGGCCAGTCAGCCCTGCCAAGCCGGAGCGGCTCCGGTCGCGCGGCCCCGCCGCGCCGTGAGCCGCTGAGCCGGAGCCGCCGAACCGGAGCCGCCGCGCCGTGAGCCGCCGCGCCCGGCCGGCACGTTTGTGGCGTCCTCTGGCCGCGAGCCGCCTCCCCCCCCCCCCCCCCCCCCCAGCCGCTTTGCTCGCAGTGCGGCGCCATTAAATGATCACGCCTGGACGCGGCGTCTGGGCGGGAGCGCTCGGCCGGCAGTGGCGCGGGCTCTGGTCCGCCGCGTTGGCTGATGACTTCTGACGGCCGCCGTCGGGCCTCGTCCGGACCGGTAGAGCGGGCAGATGGAGCACGATCCACTGGGTCCGTGCGTCCTATCATGCCGCATGACAGCAGCTCGTCCTCCATCGTACACGGAAGCCGCTCATCCCATTGTGGTGCACAGGAGTCGCTCGTCTTGTCGTGGTCCATCGGAGTCGCTCGTCCCACCATGGTCCATCGGGGGGGCTCGTCCCATCACGGCTCATCGGAGTCGCTCGTTCCACCACGGTCCATCGGAGTCGCTCGCCCCACCACGGTCCATCGGAGTCGCTCGTCCCACCATGGTCCATCGGAGAGTCGCTCGTCCCATCGCGGTCCATTGGAGTCGCTCGTCCCACCATGGTCCATCAGAGGGTCTCGTCCCACCACGGTCCATCGGAGTCGCTCGTCCCACCATGGTCCATCGGAGAGTTGCTCGTCCCATCGCGATCCATTGGAGCCGCTCGTCCCACGATGATCCATCGGAGAATCGCTCGTCCCATCGCGGTCCATTGGAGTCGCTCACCCCACCATGGTCCATCAGAGGGTCTCGTCCCACTACGGTCCATCGGAGTCGCTCGTCCCACCACGGTCCATCGGAGTCGCTCATCCCACCACGGCCCATCGGAGTCGCTCGTCCCATCATGGTCCATCGGAGAGTTGCTCATCCCATCGCGGTCCATTGGAGCCGCTCGTCCCACGATGGTCCATCGGAGAATCGCTCGTCCCATCGCGGTCCATCGGAGTCGCCCGTCCCACCATGATCCATCAGAGGGGTTCGTCCCACCACGGTCCATCGGAGTCGCTCGTCCCACCACGGTCCATCAGAGTCGCTCGTCCCATCACGGTCCATCGGAGTCGTTCGTCCCACCACGGTCCATCGGAGTCGCTCGTCCCACCATGGTCCATCGGAGAGTTGCTCGTCCCATTGCGATCCATTGGAGCCGCTCGTTGCATCACGGTCCATCGAAGCCGCTCGTCCCACCACGGTCCATTGGAGAGTCGCTCATCCCATCGCGGTCCATTGGAGCCGCTCGTTGCATCACGGTCCATCGAAGCCGCTCATCCCACCACGGTCCATTGGAGAGTCGCTCGTCCCATCGCGGTCCATTGGAGCCGCTCGTCCCATCACGGCCCATCGGAGAGTCGCTCGTCCCATCGCGGTCCATTGGAGCCGCTCGTTGCATCACGGTCCATCGAAGCCGCTCGTCCCACCACGGTCCATTGGAGAGCCGCTCGTCCCATCGCGATCCATTGGAGCCGCTCGTCCTGACGTTCTGCAGCTGGACCCGTCACTGTCCATTGTAACAGTCTGTCTCATTTCTCTTAATTTACCAGAACCACCCCGCGTCTTTCCAATCCATTCTGGGATCTGCTGGTCCGTCTTTTGCAATTTATCGCGACCACTCATTCCGTCTGTCCCAATCTATCTGGGGCGTTTGTTCGGCACGTGGCGTGCGCGGCATTGGCTTGGGCCGCCGGGCGCCGGGCCTCGCCTGGGCTCCGTCTGACGGTGCGGCCCGACGTCGTGCAATGTGTCCTGGTCGCCGGCCGCCGCCATCGGCGTGGAAAAACACCGGCCTTGTCGTTAGGGGCGCGGACGAGCGCAGCGAGCGTGATGAGGAGGCCCCCGGCCGCGCCGGGTCGGCAGCCGTCGGCTCTGCACGCGCACTGCGCCACCGGGCTGGGCGGCGATGGTGGTGTCTATGAGCCCAGCGAGACGGAGGTGCCTTGCACTGCCGGCGGTGATGAGAAGGGGAGGCGTGGCAGACATGTCAGCCCTGGCTCTGAACGCGGGGCGTGTCAGTGGTCGAGCCACCTCGGCTACCTGTGGCATGGGCTAGCTGACGTGGGAGGCGTGCCGTGCCAGTGGTGGCCCGGTTGGCCACGCGACGCTGGCGTCCACAGTTTTACGTGCGGCCAGAAATGCCAAACGACTTCATCAGCTCTTGTGCAGCGTCGTTGTCCTCAGCGGCAGCACAATCTCGAGCCCGCCGCTGTAACGCCCTGCACCATTAACGCGGGCTCATAATGCCAGCTCTCGGCGGGTGGCCGCGGGCCGACCGCCGGCGGCCGTAAATGGCCGCCGGCGCTGCGTCCCGTCCGGGCACAGCGCGCCGACGTGAATACGGCTCCTTTGCGCCCCGCACCTGGCTTTGTGAGGTCGATCCCGGCCCGGCGGGCGGCGGCGGCGGCGGCGGCCGGCTGCTCATGACGTCAGCACTCGCCCCGGTCAGCGTCTGACCGTGCATCACTGCGGACTGAGCGTGGCAGGCGGGCTGGCGCGGATCCCCGTCATGGTTTAGTCGCCGCCTCCGCCTCCCCTCAGACGTGGACTTCGGTGGGCGTTGCTAGGGTGTGCGAAATTGCGCGGTAGCCGGAGACTGAGCCGACTCAAATGCTTGTGTCACGACTGCAAAAGGGACGTTTTGTTTAACGATTAGACGCGCTTGGCTCTTGTAAAAACCTGCACAAAATCGGCCTGTCGCTCCTTAGTCTATATGGTTTTCCTGGAAAATCGCGCACCATGTTATTTGTGCGTCCGTCATGTGTTGCCGTCACTCCAATAGCCCGTCCGCGAGGAGTGCTTACATTGCTTATAGTTCTTGCACGACCCACACAGTTCTGCCGGTCGCGGCATTTATAATTCTATTCCAATCACCTTTTCGGTTCGAAGCCGCTGCTTACGGAAAGAGTGAACACAGTCGGACAGACAAGTCTTCATGCCTATGGCGGGCAAAAAGCGAATCGGGTTATGACCTCCAGTGCGCGAGTTATAATGCATTATACCGGTATGTTCCGAGGTGCATGGAATATAAACTCACACGTGCTTATTGCGCGGTCGAAAAAACTGCTCATGACTAACGGTTCATCGGTTTAATTACGGCTTTAGCTTGATGAAAATTGTGATTGGGCTATGATGGCTGTCATGCTGTGGTGTTTAATTCCCCTTTGGAAAAAATGCTAGTTTGTGAATGTTGACGGGACCCTTTATGAGCTATAACAATCGGGACTATGAGCTATAACAAAGACTGCACTTCATGCTGGGTAGTCTGGCACGCTTACGTTTGGGCACGCACGCACGCACGCACGCACGCACGCACGCATATATATATATACATATATACATATATATATGTATATATATATATATATATATATATATATATATATATATATATATATATATATATATATATATATATATATATATATATATATATTTGAACATCACTCGCAGGGAAAAAAGCTATTTTTTATATCAGGCCATGCTCTTTAATCGTAATTACGACAAAAAGGGCGTCTGTTAGCGAAAGAAGACATGTTTCAGTCCTACGTAGGAAGACACTTTCACATGTGCAAAGGAAAGAAGTTATGGAAACTCCGAGCCGTTTAAATTATATGTTAGTTCGAGCAGAGATAAGGTTTGAAGCATCATTTGCGGGGACGTCACATTCGCGCATGGTTAACGGGGTTGATATATTAAATACCATCTAAGGTATTAGATACCACCCGATATATTAGATACCACCAGCGTATTGTTGGTACCATCAACACCCGTGCCGCGGACGTATGGAGAAGCCTTATAAGGCCAGTGGTCCGGTCCAGTCTGTCCAGCCAGTGGCCAGTGGTCCGATTTGTCAGATCTGAATGGCTGGCAGATGTTGAATGGGTCACAGTTTGTCGTACATCTCCACGAGTCCATGTGACGTCACGGGCGGCGGCGCCCCCTACAGCAGCAACATTGCTGTTCGTGCAGCGAACCGAGCGGGAGCCGCCTGCTATTTATCTGGTTGGCGTGCAGTGTTATTGCATTAAATTTGCATTGTTTCTGTGTACACTCATTTCGATCGAGTGCATTTTGCATCAAGCAGCTCCACCTACGGAGACAAACCGAAACAATACTGGCCTCGTTTTTGCGCAAGTTGCTTATAAGCTGTCAGATGAGATGATGTGTCAAATGAGGTGACGCTGTGACCCACCCGCGCGTCGCTTATGTCAGCGCGACGATCGCCTCCCCCGTGGGCTTCAGTGTCTGTGACGGGCACTCCGTACGGCTGTTTGTGTCTGACGCCCAACGCATGCCTGTTGCAGCGAAAACGAAGGAAAACGGCAAGCAGGAGCCGTGTAAGCCGATCCAGAAGGTGCAGTGGCTGTCGACAAGAGCCGGGTAAGCAGATGCACTGGCTGACCTCGCCTGGGAGCTGGCGTGTTGTGCATTAGCCTTACGGTGCCTCTGTGGCTAACAATGAGTCCCGACGGGCTTCAGCGGGCGTAACTGAACTTGACTGAGTGCCATGGGACATTGTGGGGACTCTGCTAGAAAGCGCCGGTCTTCGACTGGGCGCAACTGTGGCTGGTTACGTCCCTGTGGTGCTGGTTAAATGATTTCGCCGGGCTTGCTGGGCCAGCCGACGACAGCTGGCGGGCCATTATTTATTTGACGTTCGGGGACGGACGCGCAGATGTTCCCAGGTTTGGTGCCGTCCGGCCTTCCAGGCAGTCAGTTCTGCCGCGCTGGTTTGTCTTCCGCCGTCGGTTTACGCGGCGCCAGAGGCAGAAGCTCGGCGGGCGCTTTGTCGGCTGCGCTGCGTGTGGGACCCGACGGCGGCCGTCTCGGGGGTCGCGGCTGTTGCAGACGGCGGCCCGGCGGCCACACCCACCCGACAGCGGCCGTCTCAGGGACGGCGGCTGGTGCGGACGGCGGCCCGGCAGCTTCACCTGTCCGATTGTGTCAGAGTCGCCGCCACAAAGCACCGGCCGCCGGCCGCCGATCAATCCCGGTGGCATTAAAATATTTAGCGCTGAGATCGGCCATCGGCCGACGCTCGTTTGGGGGTTGTTTACTGCGCTCGTTACGTGCCGGCGCGGCGTCGTCACCAGGTGGCGCCGATCGCGCCCGCCGGACGCCGCTGCTGCGCGCCGCTGGCGTTAACCGCGTTAGCGTAAGTTGATTGCAGCTTGTTTTGCGCAGCGGCGATGCTGCGCCAAACGCGCGGGTTCGATTGTATTGGCAGCGGCCGTCGGCCCCCTCGCGCTGTTCGGCTTGTTGGCCGTGCACGCTGGGCGGCGTGGCCTGCGTGGCCGTGGCTGGGCTGCCGAGTGGCGCGCGCCGTGTGCCGCCGCCGCGCCGGTCCGCCGAGGCTCGCGGTGTAATTGGACGAACCGCGTGGGGCAGAACCCTGGCGCCGGTACACTCTGTCTTGAGTGGGCCGACCAGTTCCGTAGATATCGGTCGACAGCGGCAGCCGACGGCCAGAGCGCACGGCCGCTGCTGGTAGCAATGCGGGCCGAACAGCATGGCATTAGCTGAAATGAGGACGTTGTTTGTTTGCTGTCAGATTGCAATAGGACGCCTGCTGCAGGCCTTAGATAGGAAGTAGCGATGAGCGTAGGGCGCTGGTGGTGAGGTGCGGTTTAATTGAGATCGCGTGCGCGTGCTGGTAACAAGACGGCGCCCAAAATAGAGAAACGTTTCGTTTACGGGCTGGACGACACGTTAATCTGTTGCTGCCGACAGCATTCGGAGTAATGACGGGGGCCGGGCGAGGTCGTGCAGGATGTATCTAGAAGAGGGCGTGAGGAGCGCCTGCGCGGACGGCGCGGGGGCGGCCAGACGGTGGAAGTGGCCCCACTGCTGATTGGTTGCTGTGTTGACACGGGACGAGCGCGACACCGGAGACGAGCGCACGCGCGCTGACGGTGACCACGGCGTCTCCAGACGACGCACCATCCGCGCCCGCTTGTGTCCTCTCTGCCCTTGCGGTCACCCTCTCGCTCGCTGTCACGCCCTGTCACGCCCCCTCCGCTCTGTCCCACTCTGTCCCAATCTGTCCCGCCCCGTCTCGTTCGGTCGCTCCGTCTCGTTGTCTTTTCGTTCTCATATTTCCCTCCACTCTTCATTTTTCTCACTACTGCCGCCCATAATCCCTGTTTTCCTTTTCCGTTTTCGCAAGACTGCCCTCTCCGAGCCAGAGCTTCCAGAGCTTTCTCAGCTCGAATCGTAAATACGCCAGTGACAGACTGTAGGTCGCGCCCGAAAACGGTTTGCGTTACAGATTTGCCCATTGATAGTATAAATTAGTAATGTACCGGAGCAGTCAGCTTTGAATGCGATTGGTGGGCCTGTATTTGACTGAAGCGGTTGCCATCCGGCTGGGGCTGTGGCCCATCGCCGACCGGCACTAGCTGTGGTGACGCACTGGGCTGCCCATCACACATCACCGAGCTGCCTTTCACTAGCCATGTGCTGACCAGGTCACCGGCCGGCGCCGCGGCCGTCCCTGGCGGCGCCAGTGTGACCACATGACCGTGTTTTGGTTTTCAGGCTGCTGGCGTCGCTCAGCTCGCTCGGCTGGCGAGAGGAGGAGGAAAGGTTGTTGTCTGTACAGTGCATCGTCTCCTAGCGCGGCCGTAGCTGGCCCCCACGCCTGTCGCCCGCAGTGTCCTGGCGTCGCTGCTTCCTGTCCGGCGCACGCTCCTGTCCTCTCCTGACCCGCACGTGCCGACAGGCGGGCCCGGCGCGGCTCCCTCCTGCTCTGCGTGCTGCCCCAGTCGGCCCAGCGAGCCAGGTAGTCAGCCCCGCTATTGACCGCGGCGCCGGCGCGCGCGTTCGCGGCTGCTCAGCGTGGCGGGACCGCGGCCGGCGGCGCCCGGCTCTCCGGGCTGTACACAGCGACGGTCGAGGGCGCTGCGGCTGCGTGCAGTGCCGCTGGAGACTCCGGCTGAGGCGCCCCGCGCGGCTACAGCTGCCAGCGCCTGTGTGTAGTCTGCCGCCGTGCTCGGCCCCGCTGCCGAGCCCCGCTAGCAGCGCTGTACGGACGGGCGTGCGGCCGCTGTCGCCGGCGGGAGACGCTCCGCCAGCACTGGCGAGGAGCCGGGCTGCCGGCGGCCCGGCGGCAGCGGCCCTAGGGCAGCGTGCTGGGCCTTACCCGGCCCCAAGGATAGGCACATATTGCCTCTCGAGTGGGCAATATCGCACAGAGCGCGGGACAGCGCGCGGCAGCACGCGGACGCTACCTATTGTCGGGCTGTCGGCTGTCAGGCCCGTGCTGTGCTCACCTGCCGCTCGCTCTGGCTCGGTTCTGCCAGCGTTCAGCCATTGACCGGCATAGGGAGGTTTCACTAGCGGCGTGGCGGCCGTCTTCGGAGCTAGGTGTCGAGACCGAGTGTAGTCCCCCCCCCCCCCCCCCCCCCCCCCGTCCAGCGCCGTCGATCCATACGCGGCAGCTGTCCGGGGCGTGCCATCTCCCGGACACGCGGCTCGGGAGGGACGCGCCCGGCCGGTAGGGGTGGACGCCGGCCGCCAGCGGACGCGGTGTGAGGCGAACATGGCGCGCCGCGGCCGTGGCGGACAGCCGGCCGGTGGCGCGTTCGCGCGTCGTCAACCCGACGGTCCTCGGGAGTAATGGCACGAGCTGAATCACCAATCTGTATTTATGGCATGGCTTGCGGGCCGTGGGGTCGGGTTATGTTTGGACCGTTTGCGGTTGTGAACCCGTGTTTGTGCTTACTACCATTCTGATATTAGCTCAGGAGTAACTTGCACCGCATTGCCCTTATATAATAGAGTCACTAGGACTCGTGAATCGATCTCTTTGTCCATGTGTTATTTTGTAGCACCCGCCTCTTATGGTTTGCCGAACAGGAAGCACCCCTTAGCTGAGAGATAGTCGTAGTTCGCTAGTTAGATGCCTAGATAGAAATAGCTGGAGATCATTGCACCGCTGCAGCTATGTGAAGTTATATTAGTGTATGTACGAGGCAAAGCTTGCCGTAACGATTGCAGGCTGACTCTGCCACCACAGAAAGGTTCGCCCTCAGAATCATATAATTAATCAGCCATTCACTCTCAGAGGATGAAGTCACGGCGTAACCCGTTTCCCGTCTTCTGCGAAGTTTAATTTCCCGTGACTTATGGGCTCCATGTATGATACACATGGTTCAAAGGATGCTGAACTCGGAGGCAGCAGGCAGTGTCGAAAGTCTGGAGTGTGGCCGTGGACGGAGCTCGATCCGTTTGTCTCCCCCCCCCCCCCACGTTCGAGGCATTGCTGCTGACCCCGGCCTACGCACGTCGCACCCATCGGGGCTGCCTCTGTGTGCCGCCCGCTGCTGGCTGACCTGGGGGAGGGGGGCGGGGCTCTGTGTGTGTCCCGTCCCTCGCCCTGTAGCGCCGCCTCCGGCTGACCGCGCGCCGTCGGCCGCCAGCGAGCCGTACGTGATCTTCACGGGCGGCCTGGGGCACGACACGGCCGGCCGCACGCCCAGCGTCACCGTCATGCACGGCAAGACCACCACCGTGCTCGAGATGGAGCACAACGTCATCGACTTCATCGCGCTGGTCGACACGCCGTATCCCAGCGGTGAGTCGTCGCTGTTGGCGCCGCTACCGGTGCTGACGCCGGCGCCGAACGTCCCGCAGCGAGTGATGACCGAGACAACAATCTGGAATCGATTGGCATTGGTGGCGTGGGCTGCGCCACAGTGGTCGCTGGCAACCGAGCATCAACACTGCGCCGCTGAAATGACTTCTGATTTATGCATTTGGCACACAGAGACTTGCACGTAATGTGCGGTTATTGCGGTGTTCTTTGATGCCAATGGCGATTAAGGCAGGCTGTACGTACAATGCCGGCATAACGTTGGCGAAATGGCTGGTTGCCAAGATACATGGTGTAAGACGGCAGCGATGGCTGGCAGGACCGGGTAAAGACGAAGGAGCATAGTGTGAAAAATTCGGTGATTTGAGCGAATGTCATCACGTACAGGTGTAAAGGCCCTGTTGCGGTAATAGTTAACTATATTGCTGATTGTTAGCCCTTGTTTGAACTATTACGCTGGAGGAGTTAATCATCCCGGTTTTGAATAAACAACTACTGATCATAACCGTTTTCACCAAGATTTAGTGCGAGAAACTTAAAACATTTGTTCTTACCCGTTGCGGCCATAACAATAGGGGTGCGTGTGAAAGTGTCGAAATATTTATGTTGCATGTTGCGTAACCCTCGCCCCGATCAGGGGGGGGGGGGGAGGGGAGGGGGATCGATGCGACTGAGGTTTTCCGACAATAGCTTTACGGCATGCTGTTTAATCACGCCCAGATTTCCAGGAGCCTATGGGTATTCATATGCGTATTTTGACACCTAAAACGTGTCCTTGGTATTTCCGATTTCTGAATAGAAACGTGTCCTTGAAACGCTGCGCACTTATCTGCCGCGGGCGCGGGCGGCGAGCGGCGATCGGCGGCTCAGCTAGCCACAGGCGGCCGGTGACACTGTTACACTGGCTGAGCCCTGCGTCGACCGGCGGCTCAGGTAGTCACAGGCGGCCGGTGACACTGTTACACTGGCGGAGCTCTGCGGCGACCGGCGGCTCAACTAGTCACAGGCGGCCGGCTACACTGTTACACTGGCGGAGCCCTGCGGCGACCGGCGGCTCAGGCAGTCACAGGCGGCCGGCGACACTGTTACACTGGTGGAGCTCTGCGGCGACCGGCGGCTCAGCTAGTCACAGGCGGCTGGCTACACTGTTACACTGGCGGAGCCCTGCGGCGACCGGCGGCTCAGGTATTCACAGGCGGCCGGTGACACTGTTACACTGGCGGAGCTCTGCGGCGACCGGCAGCTCATGTAGTCACAGGCGGCCGGTGACACTGTTACACTGGCGGAGCTCTGCGGCGACCGGCGGCTCAGGTAGTCGCAGGCGGCCGCTAACACTGTTACACTGGCGGAGCTCTTAGGCAAAATTGCAGGAGACGCCGGGGTGAGTTTCATTCTGCTACGCAGTATTCTTAACGTATATTGGCGTGTGAAGCTGAATTAGTCCGATTTTCGGGGGGACTTAACATTTGCTCTGGCCAAATTGGGTCAATTACTGACCTAGCAACACAAGCCTTGCAGCTGATGTGGAGATCTCACTGTTATCTATGCTCACGCTGTTTCACTGTTTTTCATTCAGTTTTTCCGCCAGGCTTTATCATTCATACCTTGGAAACGGCGCGGACATCGTCCCCTCCCATCCCCTATCCGTTGACGGTATGAAAAACGACAGGTCCGGCCGCGGCTTAACCTTTTTTGTGATGCTGCAAAACACAGTTCCTGGTAACACGCACACGCAACCAACCTTTCAATGGGAAAAATAAGTGCTGAAAGCTTTTTACAATGTAAGCTTTTCCGCGTAAATTGATGCCGCGTTTGACATGGTTGCAACATATTACGGAGGGTGGACCCGGCCATTGACAGCCGTGGGTGGACGTGGACGTGTGTTCTGTAGCCTTAACGACCAATGTAGTCGAATCGCATTTGACTTGCTTCAATTTGACTCATAAATCGCGTCCTTACTGTTTATGAGACATTTGGATCGAGCAGCTCCGAGCCAAGTGCACTCTGTCTACTGTGTGTCTTTAAAGTGGCAGGAATTATGATATATTGATGGACGGACCAAAGAGGCGGACGGTTATGAGGCATATCTGCCATGCCATGCAATGGCATAGCGCGGCGGTGTGTGATCAGTTGTTGCTTCTTGTCGGGAGGGAGGAAGGCTGTTGCCTTTGTCGCCACGGAAAGCTCAACGGTGGTCTCACGCTTGTGAATCTTGCCTTTTCCGGTTCATAATTGAGTTGAAATTACTCGTGTAGTTAATGAGCTATATTGGGCGAATTTTCTGTGCGTTTTGAGCTTTCTGAGGTGGAGACACTACGCTGCGGTGTAAACATGTATTTGTAGATGAATACCTCAGACTTGGAAGTTACAACTTTTTTGCACGCATGTCTCAGTGAGGAACTCCCACTAAAGGACGTGGTTTGCAAACGTTCGAAAAAGTGAGGCGTTGTCTCATGACCCGTTGATTCAAATGAAACGCTGGTCGTACGTGCACTTAAACCCATAGCAATTCATGCATGTCGCTTAAATTGTTCCCATCAGCTCAACATAGCAAGAAGATACGTTGTTCATCGCAATGGGCTGCCTTCTTGTCCTTAGCAGCCTTTTTCAAAGAAAGGCGTGACAAAACACACTCGGTTCGAACCAAGAGAAGGGCGAGGAAACGGAAGGGGGCGAAGACAGGGTGGCCGGTCTGCAGCTTCGGCGGAGTTTTCTGGCGGTCATTACGTGGAGCGTTGCGGATAAAAAGCGTTCTTTCCCCATTGCACACTGTAGCTTCGTTCGCCCCCTGGACGAGACGATCTGTTCGCCAGCCTTCGCTATGCCATTCACATGTAACCCGATTATTTTGCGGCAGACATCCAATTTGATTTGTGGAAGAAACACCTTGTGTGTTATGGTAGATAGAACACAACAGTCACAACCCATAATGCCATACAGCGACTGTTATAACCAGCATATAATGCACGACATTTGAGTCATATTTGATTCCACTAATGGCCAAGTTTTACGTTTCGGCGCCCGTCTACGTGATCTGGAAACGCGATAGGTGTCCCTGAAGTTTGGAAGGGTATTGTGGCGCCCTGGGTATGAATGGGCAGAGATGGACTTCGGAACTCAAACGGCACAACTTAAGTCCACCATCGTCCCAGTTAAATGGCGCAACTTAAGTCCACCATCGTCCCAGTTAAATCGCGCAACTGAAGTCCACCATTGTCCCAGTTAAATGACGCAACTTAAGTCCACCATCGTCCCAGTTAAATGGCGCAACTTAAGTCCACCATCGTGCCAGTTAAATGGCACAACTTAAGTCCACCGTCGTCCCAGTTAAAAAGTAATATGTGAAGTGAGGACTCTTGGCGCTTAGTTTATGAGGTACTCTCATGGACTTGTGCGGTGGCATAATCCCTGAATGTCGCAGCGAATTCGCATAATGCTCCGATGAAAGCAATGTCGAGGCTTAAATTGCATCGCATTGCTAATTCGGAGATGCGGGCGGCTGCACTTGAGGTGTGATGAAAAGGTTACCTCTCTGGAAGGTACATAGTTAACTCTTGCACATCCACGTTAATAGAGGTCAAACCAGTCATCAATGATTGAGAGGTGCAGTTACGTACTCAAATGCTGGCGTGTACGGAGTGCATATAACATGGGGCCAAGAAAATATCAAACCAACAGACAGCATGCTTCGTAACTGCCAGAACGTGAATCATCATGTCAGATTAAGCCACTGTAGCGCTACTTCTTTCAGACCTCTCAAATTGTGACATACCTGATTGTGCCAATTCAGGTCAAACTCGTTTATTTCCCTCCATACGCGTGCGAGTCGCATTTTCCAGAGCTGTTTTTTTTTTGCGCGCGGACGGTGACGCTGCCAGGCATGTCCGATATTGCATTTGTAGGACCGAAACCATCACCAAGTCGATCCGCCAAAGTATCGTAAAACGAAAGAAGAATTCATCTTTTATCCGCTACTTCTTTGCAAGTTAAAAACCATGCGTATAAAACAATGGAGACGGTGCCGAAAAGTTCGCTGTTGCTTTTCCCGGTTGGCTACACAAAATACACTGCAGCCGACAGCTCTAGAAGTGCTTGAACTTTCCGCGCTGTTTCTGGGCTTTTTCACCTGCTTGACTGCGTCAAAGTCCGCTTAATTTCCAGCAGGCTTCAGATTTTGCCGACAGTGTAACGGCGTTGCAACAGTGCGAAATGATTGCGTGTTGCCAAATGTTGACGCTCTGGAATTCGGGGCCACTTCAGCCCCATTTGATTGCCGGACTTCTAAAACGAACGATCCATTTCTGACACGCACGCGGCCGCGCCAAATCCAATTGCAGTGGATTAGTCGCCATGGGGAGCCCGGCCACTCGACAAACATGTCAGCCGGGGCTGTTGAATGGCGGGGGACGGCGCCACGGACCGCAGGCGGAAAGCACTGCGCCCGGAACGTGGCCACGTGCTGGGCGCGGTGTCGGAGGTCGCACTCGTCAGCGCCCTGTGAGCAGCGCTTGGAGTCGGAAGTCAACAGACCAGGGGGCCAGTTGACGCCCTGTGCCCATGCATGTCGCGCACCGCAGGCTAGAGGGGCGTATTGCCGCACTGGCACTCGGAGGCCGCCGCTGCCCGCCGACGCCGTGCGCCCGACGCCAGGCGGCCCGGTCGCCACGCGCGACGTCAGAGGCGTGAGCACTGACATTGCTTGGCGCAACTAGGATGGCTGTTTCAAGTTAAGTGTCAGAATGAAGAGTGCAGCAAATGATGTGCGCGAGAAACAGCAGGATGAACTGAACGATGCGTACATCATGATGTACATCCGGCAAAAAGGCATTAGTGCTATGTTAAAGTATTACTCTTATGCCTTTTTGCCTTTGGACGGCAGCATTTATACCGCTCAAGCAACAGTTCCCACAGTCAAGTCCCGAAACACTGGAGGGATAGTTAACGTAACTCACGAGGCAAACGGTCACATGCATCAGCTGCGCTCAAACGTAGTCTTCGAGCGTCTGCATTTGTTTTGGCTCCAGGCGCGGCTGCAGCCCTGTCAGAGTGGGAAGCTCGGGACAGAGTGCGGGCGGACTAGAGCTGACGCGGAGGCAGGGCGCCCGTGAACTGACGCGGAGGCAGGGCACCTGTGAACTGACGCGGAGGCAGGGCGCCCGTGAACTGACGCGGAGGCAGGGCGCCTGTGAACTGACGCGGAGGCAGGGCGCCTGTGAACTGACGCGGAGGCAGGGCACCTGTGAACTGACGCGGAGGCAGGGCGCCTGTGAACTGACGCGGAGGCAGGGCACCTGTGAACTGACGCGGAGGCAGGGCGCCTGTGAACTGATGCGGAGGCAGGGCGCCCGTGAACTGACGCGGAGGCAGGGCGCCCGTGAACTGACGCGGAGGCAGGGCACCTGTGAACTGACGCGGAGGCAGGGCGCCCGTGAACTGACGCGGAGCGTTTTGAACGGAGCACAGGTACCGTGTCTGAGAAAGGGTTAGCCTTCATCACAACGAGGGCATGTATCAGTGCTCACCGCACTTGGTCCAAGCGGCCCCGCGTTCTTTCGGGCCTCTGACCCGCTCTACAGTTAGTTATGCGGCGCGGACTACGTGGAGCATTAGGTAGAGCGTACAGAGCACAGACGCTGGATCGTCGCCATGGCCCTGGCACGCTAGCGAGGGAGTATGAAGCATGAAGAAGAGGAGTGTTGCTTTTATCTTGTCCGTCGCATTCGTAACACGGATGCGTAAGCCCGCTGCAGTGCTGCTTCACAAAACTGTCCGATTGGTCGTTAGCCGAGGACACGCCCACTTTGAGCCTGGGTCGTGGGAAGACTTGAGCGCCGGTTCCCACACGATGACATCCTGTTGCACACGACCCAGTGCTGCAGCTGTCGGAGTTGGAGCGAGAGTGGCCTGGCCGAGCGAGCTTGCCGCGGGAATGTCTCGGTTACGGGAGTTCGTTTAGCCTTCTGGACTTCGTTGAATGCTTTGGGCGCCGTCGCGCACGCCTTAACTTTGCTGGAGTGGTTTGCGGTCGTAGGGGAGGTGGATGGGGGCGGCGGCGAGAGGCTATAACTGCCGACTGAGGAGAGGTGGCGGCACGAACGTCTCCCGCGGGATGGCGGGCGGCGGCGCGCGGGTCGAGACCGTGGTCGCCGATATCGGGACAGCTCGCTCCCCTGGCACGTGGGCTCACACCCACACGAAATGAGAGTCACGGGTCGACCCGTACGGACGGGCCTCAGCCAGTCAGGTTTGTAGTAGAAGTATGACTAGTAATTGGGTTTTGAGGGTGCATCAACTGTGGTGATTCCTTGCTGCCAATCAGGTTTTAAGTGCGCTTGTGCGTTGAATTGGAGTGGGTTGTTTTCGGGTCATGACGTCGGCGAGCCGACTTGGGCCTGCTGGTAGGTACGCAGACGAAGCTCACTGCATGTGGTGTGGCTTCATTGCTAATGGCTTCACACCATCAGGGCGAAGAACGGAATCAGACCGATAACAATGGTCGGCACTTCGTAAGTCCACGGGTGACACAACTTATTTAGACACGAACCGTATTGCAGCTGTCAACAATTTCACTGTACATGTCACTGCTCTGCGACTTGCAGCCTTAGACCGTCGTATACCGACACTGGGTACATAGTCCCTCAGCTCGAGCTCCAGGTGAACGTTGGTGACATTTTCGTCCCGCTATTTAAACCAACGAAGTTGGTTTTTACCTGGGGGTAAAACGCTTGCTTCATCTAACGCATTTTGTCTCGGCCGAACCGTCAAAATTGCATACAGTTTTTGGTAGTTATTGCCGGAAACACGCACACCTTGCCAGTGACAGCCACCATGGCATGACCTGCCACCGACAGCCACCATGGCCTGCCCTGCCAGTGACAGCCACCATGACAAACCCTGCCAGTGACAGCCACCATGGCATACCCTGCCAGTGACAGCCACCATGACATACCCTGCCAGTGACAGCCACCATGACATACCCTGCCAGCGACAGCCACCATGACAAATTCTGCCAGTGACAGCCGCGACGGCGCCACTGTCGTCCCGGCGCCATCCACGTCGCACATTGGTATGCATTCGCACGGCAGCCCTGATGGGCCGGCCATTTTTGACGCGGTGTTAAACGCTGCGCGATATCCGGCAGTGAGTGCCGACGTCAGCGCCGTCTGCCTGTCACCGGTGCGACGCGAGGTGCGACGCGAGTGGGCGCCGGCGGCCCGCCGTCGGCACGCCCTGACGCCGGCAGAGGAGCACCTCCAGCCAGCCTCAGTCGGTTTTCGCCGCCGTCCGTCTGCGCCATGTAGCCGGGATCCGGCGGCCGCCGCGGGCGAGTGCTGGTGGGCTGCGCCGTGCGGCGGCGGGCGGTCTTCAGGCCGTCTCCACCCGACGACGGGCGGTCTTCAGACCACCTCCGCCCGACGGTGGGCGGTCTTCAGGTTGTCTCCGTCCGCAGGCCGTGTCCGGCTGTCGGCGGGCGGTCTTCAGACCACCTCCGCCCGACGGCGGGCGGTCTTCAGGCCATCTCCGCCCGACAGGGGGCGGTCTTCAGGCCGTCTCCGGTCGTCGGCGGGCGGTCTTCAGGCTGTCTCCGGCCGGTGGTGGACGGTCTTCAGGCCATCTCCGCTCGACGGTGGGCGGTCTTCAGGCCGTCTCCGGTCGTCGGCGGGCGGTCTTCAGGCTGTCTCCGGCCGGTGGTGGACGGTCTTCAGGCCATCTCCGCTCGACGGTGGGCGGTCATCAAGCCGTCTCCGCCCGACGGCAGGCGGTCATCAGACCATCTCCGCCCGACGGCGGGCGGTCATCAGACCATCTCCGCCGACGGCGGGCGGTCTTCAGACCATCTCCGCCCGACGGCGGGCGGTCTTCAGCCCGTGTCCGGCCGTCGGCGGGCGGTCTTCAGGCCGTGTCCGGCCGTCGGCGGGCGGTCTTCAGGCCGTCTCCACCCGACGACAGGCGGTCTTCAGGCCGTGTCCGGCCGTCGGCGGGCGGTCTTCAGGTCGTCTCCGGTCGTCGGCGGGCGGTCTTCACGCTGTCTCCGGCCGGTGGTGGACGGTCTCCAGGCCTTCTCCGCCCAACGGCGGGCGGTCTTCAGGCTGTCTTCGGCCGTCGGCGGGCGGTCTTCAGGCCGTCTCCGGCCGTTGGCGGACGGTCTTTAGGCTGTCTCCGGCCGGTGGCGCGAGCGGTACGTTGCAACGCTGGGCGTGTGGACTGCCGGCGGCTGGAGCGGCGGTGGCGGGCGGCGCGGAGGACTGCTCCGGGCCACTGCGACCGCTCTGTGGGCCACAGGCGCCGGCCGAAACTCGACTGAGGTGACGTCACCGGTCACAGTTGGATACATTGGAGCTGCCACGGAACCCCAGCCACCAGCGTGTCTCACAAACTGCACCGCACAAATAGATATTGTCATAGCTGATTTGGAATAAGACACTGAGTAATGGTGACCTGGCTGTACTGAAAACAGGAGCTTCGGTGGCTGAAGTTTGGCTCCACCTGCCGCAGGAGTTCCGCTTGTCTTCCCCCCCCCCCCCCCCCCCGACCGTCGGGTCGGGACCGGCATTCCAGGGGGACGGCTAGCCACCGTCTCATTGCTGACCTGTGTGGCCGTCAGAGCGAGAACAGTGGGACGCGTTCACACGTGTGCGGTCCGGCAGATCGAGGCGCGGGGAAGGCGCTGTGTCTGGCCGTCAGTGAGGTCAAATGCCGGCCCGGGGCTCCAGTTGTGCCTCGCTTATGACACCGTCAGCTTTGGCCCGCTGCGGCACGCTGGTGCTCGACGGACGGGTGTAATCGCCGCACTGGGAGGAGGCGCAACAAGCGCATCCTGTCACGTGGGCCAGGATGTACTTGTTCTTCTCATTAGTGGTAAAATGACCACTGTTGTATGTTTTCGATAAAAACATCAACTCGGGCCAGCTGGTCGGCTGATCACTGGGACGCGATCACGTGATCACACGCACAAAAACCTCCAGACGCCTGTGACAGCTGGAATGTGCTTTGAAATGCTTGCGTGCCCGACTTCCGCGGAACCAGTGTCTGGTCTTACCTTTAACACCCCCACTGGGAAATGGCGGAAAGGTCAGCATTTCTGCACTTCAGTAGAACTGAAATGTTAAGCGGCCGGGCAAGGTTGTGCGAACGCGTCCCTCGGCGTTACCTCGGAATAGATTTGGCTATTCTTACACCCGGTCTCCGACGGTGATTGTATTCGGGGCCGAGTGCTCCCCGGCCGGCCACCAGACAGCCAAGGCCACGAACGGCTCTGTCGGTCTGTTTGTATCGTAGGATTACTCAAGGTTGCGACCGAATGGAGATTGTTATCTGATTGCGTTATCGAATCGAATGTCAATCGCTCTGCGGCTATAAACGCAGATGATTGGCGACGAGATTGATTACGTTTTTTTTTTCTTTTACACAGCGGAAGTGAGCACTAGTATGCTGACCGCCCGCTGCGCGTCGAGTTGTTGGAATCAGATGCCTGGCGAATATGCGAATACCTGTGCCGACCACATTTGAGTTCAGGTTTTTCAGTGACCGAAATGCACACCATAGTTCCAAGACTCGAGGCTAGCTACTTTATCACGCACCCACGCTTTGTGCCACTATGCTGAGTTGGATGTGTGCTGCCAGGTTCCGTGCACTCTCTTGCCGTAGGTCGGCTCTGAGCAGCGGCACTGTCTCGGTGAGCCTGCTGTCGGCCAGGTTGCCTCCGTCGCCGTCATGTCGTGCGCCCGTCTGAGCGGCGCGTCTCGCCGCCGGCAGAGTTCCAGGACCCGTACGGCATCGTGGTGCTGCTGCAGAACGACCTGGTGGTGGTGGACCTGACGTCTCCTGGCTACCCGTGCTTCGAGAACCCGTACCCGATGGACCTGCACGGCTCGGCGGTCACCTGCTGCACCTACCTGGCCGACTGTCCCGGCGACCTGGTGCCGGCCCTCTACAGTGTCGGCACCGCCAAACAGAACAGGTCAGCCGAACAGGGCAGGCCGGGCCGGCCAACCGCGCCCGCCGCCCGCCGCCCGCCGCCCGCCGCCCGCCGCCCGCCCTGCACGGCGTCGGCGGCACCAGCCGGACAGGCCGCCGGCCGACAGGCGTCTTGTGTGCGTTTGTGTGATGTGGTCGAAATAGGCGGCCACTGGTCCGGCGCCGTCAGCTGGGTGGCTATCGTCCGTCGCCCGGCGATTTATGGCCCGTTTGTCGCCGCTCAGTTTGTGGCGGTGGCGATCTATGAGATCGCCCGGAGCGTCGCGTCGAATGATGTCGAGTTTGTCTCCGTGGACTGCGGCCTCGGCTTAAGGATGGTCCGTGGCCCAGGGGGTCACCGGGGGTCGGCTAAAAGGACGCACATGGAATCGGTCACCGTGGGCAGGTGACGCACAGGGAGTGAGTTGCCGGGAGTCGGCTCGGGTGATGCGCCGTCTGCAGGCAGACTGCGCGGGCAGCGCCCGCTTAAATCACCCGAGGTCGGTCTTTTTGCGCTCCAGTAAGAAGCGACGGCGCCGGCGTCTCCGCCCGCCCGCTTTCATCATGTCGTCAGTGTTGACTCTGTCGACTTCTTGTGTTTGCCGTCTTTCTCATTAGGTCCTTTCTCCTTCCGCGCGCTGCTCACTCGCACACACACATGCACACCCACGCACGTACGCACGCACGCATACACGTACGCACGCACGCACGCACGCACGCATGCACGCACGCACGCACGCACGCACGCACGCACGCACGCACGCACGCACGCCCCAGAGACGGGCACTGCCACCGGAGCCGGTGCTCGGTCCGCGTTTTGTTGGGCGTCGTCGGCCGATAATGACGTGTACTGACGAGCGCGTGTGTCGCGCGCGCGCTCGCGCGCTCCGACCGCGGCGGCATCGATCGGCCTTCCGTTCCGGACCGCTCGGGCCACGTGGCGCCGGGCGGCCGCGCACCTGCCGCGGCCGCCGTCTCCCGGGCGGCAGCGGCTATTTGCAACGCCGGCTGCAGGCGGCACCGACCGACGGCTCCGCTGGCGACAGCCAGCCCGGGCCTGCAGGCGAGGCCGGCGCACTGTGCCCGCCCTTTGTGTCCGCCCCCTGTCTGTGCCTCTGCTGCCCGTGTCCATCCGCCGGAGGACGGGAACTGGGCTCATGTGAGCCCGAGGCTCTCATCAACCGAGACTCTTCTGCCCGAGGCTCTCCTCTGCCGAGACTTTGCCCTACCCCTATCGTATTAGAAGCTCACTTCCCCTATGGTTCGTTGCGTCTCGTCTTGACTCTGTGCACCACTTCTCCTCGGCTCTCTTCCGACAGTTTTTCGGGGCTGCTCGCGTTTCTGGGCCTTTGTGGCCCGGCGCGTTTGTCCGCCGTCTTCCTGGAAGAGGTAATACGACTGCCGCTGACGCTAACAGCGACTAGCCACCTCAGGGACCTGGCTGGCTGATGACCCAGCCGGAGAGCACCACTCCTGGACGGCCATTGTCGTGTGCGGCCGTCATTCCCCACGCGCTCATCAGTGCGACGCTTCCGTCATTGCCGCTTACGTTCGCCTGTCCGGCCTGTCTGCGTATCCATCCTGCGTGCGGCCACCTGTGTCCGGTGTGTCCGGGCTGCGTGTGACCGCCCGTCTCGCGCCACAGTGGCCGGGCCGTCAGCCGCGCACGAGCCTGCCATCGAGCGGCAGCACGCTGTCCGGGCGGGCCGCACGCTCGCACGGGCGGTGGGACCGTCCGGCCGCCCGTGGCGGCGACCGCCGGCCAGCTGTTCTGGTTGGCTGAAGAGTTGGGCCTTTGTGTCGAGTTCTCAGTGTCGAGTTTTCAGGAAACTGAGTTCGGAATAGTGGCTGAAAGTCTGGCCTAATCCCCGGGATATGACCCGCTCAAGCTCCTCCGCCGTCTTGGCTTCATTAGTTTTCGGTCTTTCGCCGGTCGTTGGTAGGTGTTCCAAGTCGCGGTCGCGTCGCGTGAAGGCTTCGTGAGGTTTTGATGCCTCGTTTGGTACGACGTGACGCATACGCGATGATGATGGTACACCCGATCGGTGGCAGACACGGCCGCGCCGCCATGTTGCTGGTGTGCGCGGCTGAATGCCACCGCGCCCGGCTCCGATGACACCGTCTGGCGTGAGGTGACACCGTCTGGCGTGAGGTAACACCGTCTGGCGTGAGGTAACACCGTCTGGCGTGAGGTAACACCGTGTGGCGTGTGGTGACACCGTCTGGCATGAGATGGCACCGTCTGGCGTGATGTAACACTGTCTGGCGTGAAGTAACACCGTCTGGCGTGTGGTGACATCGTCTGGCGTGAGATGACACCGCCTGATGTGAGGTGACACCGTCTGGCGTGAGGTGACACCGTCTGGCGTGAGGTGACACCGTCTGGCGTGAGATGACATCGCCTGGCGTTAGGTGATGCTGTCTGGTGTCAGCCGAGACGACACCTGTGGCGCCGGGTGCAGTTCAAACAGCGGCCGCGCCGCGCCGCCGCCGGCCGACGGCGCCGCACGGAACTGGCTGGCTCTGATGGCGCAGCTAAGGAGAGTAATCGCCGCTCTGTCGCGATGCCGTGCGCCCGCTCGGCGTTATGAAAAGTTTGACGCGCCGTAAAATGGACGTTCTGCGCCGGCGGGTTATAATTGGGAAAGTGTCCCGGGGCCGCCAGTCGTAATGGACTAAACGCTTTTGAGCGCGGCCTGCTATGGTGCGTGACATCGCTTTAATTCCTCGCAGCCAACTCGTTCGGGCGGCATCGAAGTTCGACCCAAACGACTGAGGTCTTCTGAGCGGCTCCCCACGGTGGCTGATTTTGATTTGGACAGGAGAGTTCTGTTGAACGCCTGAAGAACTTGAGGCGATCTGGGCTGTGCTATTTCGGGCTTGCAATCGAAAATCCACCGAATAGGAAGGTGCTTTGGCGATCTTATCGCGCTGTTTTTACAAATTGAGATTGCATTCCTTTTTCTCGTTTTTCCCATTCGTACTCATGCTCTTAACACCCAAGTGCCTCATTGCGTTAAAGGGGCCTACCTGCAACTTGCGGAAATAGCAATGTACCCGTATTTCAGCGTCCTTGTCCGCCCTTCTCCCCACGTGACCCAGCAGCAACCCTGACAGTTCTGTAGCAGACCGCCGCTTGGCCTCGACTTCCAGCGCCATGTCGCCTTCCGCTGCATCTGTGGAGGACCGGTCCTCACACGATGTCAGTAGTCGGAATACGGCGTCTTTCAACGCCACCATCTTCTGTTTGAATCAGCGGCTCTTGTCGCCACGCCTGGGTGAGGCCGACATGAGAGCGGGCAGCGACTGAGCTACCGCGTCGCTCCGTTCTGCGCGATTATCTCGATGTCATTCTGCCCCCGTGTCTGCGTGGCCCCGTGAGCAAGTGCTGTCGCCTGTTTTTAATTGCGTCGTTCCGCCGCGTTCTGAAGCTTTACTGGCGCTGAGGGGTGCGCTCCGTAGATTGTGACATTTGCTGGTCGGGTCTTGTTACCATCCGGTGGGAAACACGCTCAGCAGGAGACGGAGGCTGTTGGCGCCCCCCCCCCCCCCCCCCCGAAACGAGTGGATGGATAGCTCGGGCCGGCCGGCGGCGAAGGCCGAGCCTTGGCCCTACTCTGCTGGCGGCCCGGCCGGAAATGGCCTATTTATGCCGCTAATGACTCCATTACGGGCGCGATCGTTACAAATAGGTGCCGCCCGAGCGGCTAGGGTCTGGAACTGCGTTCCCCTCTGATTAGAACGCCGGCATAAAAGTTCCGCTGTGCCGGTGACTTACGCTAGATATGCTTCCATTGGCCTCGGCTGAGTCCCCTATGTGAGTCGCCCAGGAGCTGTCTGTACTCCCGGTCACCCAGCCGTCTATGCTCTCGATCACCCAGCCGTCCCCACCTCCGGTCACACCGTCGTCCTCACTTCCGGCCGCCCAGTCGTTCTCACTCCTGGCCACCCTGGTGCCCTCACTCCCGACCACCCAGTCGTTCTCATTCCCGGTCACCCTGGTGCCCTCCCGGCCACCCAGTCGTTCTCACTCCTGGCCACCCTGGTGCCCTCACTCCCGGCCACCCAGTCGTTCTCATTCCCGGTCACCCAGCCGTCCTCAATCCTGGTGACTCGGGCGTCTATTTCCATTCGCTCGAGGGGGGGGGGGGGGTGGAGGCGGAGGCGAAATAAATGGTGCCAGCTCCCTGGCCGGCGAGGCCCACGCTCGCCAAACGGAGAAACGGCGAGACGATTTCACTGAGAATCGCCGTGATGAGAACGATGTTTTTCTGGGAGTGGAGGCCGGCTGCGGGCAGAAATCGCCAGCGATTCCCGCTTGATTCGGGTGATCCCGCAGTGGCCAGCGGCCTGAAGCGTGGACGATGCCGTTTTTCCAGCGTCGATGTTCCGTGCTTCGGTCCGCACGGCGCCAGCGGGCTGGCGGGCTGTGAACCGCGCATCCACTCCTTGTTGAAAACGTTCGGAACCTACTTACAGCAAACGTGGCGTCCATCGTCCCAGAGCTACTCCCTCAGTACCCCGACATATTCTGTTGGCTGCAAACACGTCCATATATTTTTCTGAAACTCCGTCTAATGGTATTTTGTCACCTGTTCTTTCGGCCACACTGCCGTTCTGCTGAATTGCACGTTCAAATGCATATTCTTCAGTAGCCGAGATCTTACGCATCATCATCCGCTATTTTGAAGGATCATGTTCCTGTTGCAAAGAGCGTGACTGAAGGTCAGCTGCGCGTGTCGCTGGTCCCCCTGCTTAAGACCATCGAATAGCCACCGCCTTCGCACTCAGCTGTGACGGGTGTTCGCGGACCGTGGAGCGCCCGGTGCCAGGACCGGGAGAGGCGTCTCCGCTTCAGTGTCCGATGATCAACCGCTAAGGGATTGGGTCTAGCTGAGGAGGTCTGCAGTCTTACCTTTTTTGGGGACAGTCGACAATTATTTTGCTGAGAACCGTTGTTGCGATCCGACAGATCCGGCAGATCCAAACGCCTGAAATATTGGCATGTTTGCGCCTGATCTTTGTCCTCAACGCTATGGCGTACAACGCGGACAAAAATGAACTGGTGCTTGTCCTCCAGAGGGCCCGTGCTAGAGCCACCACTCGTGCTAGAGCCTACACCTCAATAATGCCGTGTTGGTGGCAGATGAAACATTCTGCCAAGGCTATAGAAGCAATCAACACTTCATTCTGCCACGTGCAATTGGAGACCGCAAGATCCGCACTGGAAATCTCCGTGGTGCTGGGACCAGACCGTAGCAGCATGACTAAAATGCAGATAAGCTAGTAAGCGAAGAACGAAGTTTTGACACTGCTATTACTCTTGAGCTGTTATTTAAATCTTGAAGTGTTCTTGCCACTTGGCCAATTGCAGTTAATGGATAGACAAAACTGTGCCCATGTCACAGACATGAACCACTTTTCCGCAAGGTCGTGATACTTAGCTGTATAATTAAAGCAAAAGTGATGTCGCCTATATGTCATGGCTTGTATCACCACGGTCAGTAAAATGCCCAGAACATGTGATCATTGTGAAGACCGAGAGGATTTCCGGCATCCATAATGGTGAAGTCAGTGATAAAAATGCTATGAAATGGCATTACTGATCGCTGCTGATTACTACACTGAGTAAAGATTGTTCATGCGAAGCTGGATGGAACTGAGAAATTGATGAGATTCCTCAGTGGAGCGAGGTAACCAACCACTGAACTGCGAGCACATACGAAACAAAACATCGAGTCGAGGTTTCCTCATTGTGGCATATAATTCCTTCAACTAGCAAAATTCTCACAATGTATCATTTGCTGAAACAATCAACACCCTAATGCAAGAATGCTTATGAAACGACGTCACATCTAATGGTGAACTGTCCAGCCATTGACCGGGATCCCAGTGCTTTCCAAAGAGACAGTTGGGAACATCTGGCGGCCAAACTTATGCATACCAGAACTTTTTTGGGATTTGTACCGACAGAAATTATGTTCTCACCTTGTCTTGGTCGCTATGCAAAACCTTTATTTGCAAACAAAGTAAGCGTGAAGGCGACCCGACCGTGGCCTTATTTTTGTTGCATGTGTGTCTGTCCGAGAGTACAACCGTGGGCTTATGCTGCGAATGGAAGGTCCGACCGGCTCGTGGTATTGCGGAGCACCACAGAAAAGATGAGAGCGTTGGGGGGCGAATTGAGTTATGACAGCTCATGAATCATGTGCTGTTCGTTTTGCTTGTGTTTGAGAAATAAGCATCTGAAAAAGGTCATCATCATCTTGAAGAGTCATCATCTACACTTCGCAACATTATTGCGCAGATAATGTACAGCTCCTCGCAAAAGGGCACCCAAAAGGTCAGTTGGGCTTTTCGCTGCTTTCATGTATATATATATATATATATATATATATATATATATATATATATATATATATATATATAATATGCGCTGCACTCGACAACATTTTTTCCACATGCCCAAGTTACTAGTTCTAGCCTTGTTGTAGAGGCTGGGATTAGAACAGCAGGAAATGCCGTCTTACCCTAGCACGTACATATGTTTTCCTTGTTTCCCGCAAAATGTGTCGTTTTGAGCCTCTAAGCGTGCTCGATAAAGTACGTACTGGCGAGGTGCGCGGTGCCCTCCAGTCGGAAATTGCACGCACCCTTGACTAGCCGATGCGGTACGGCTTCTGCGCGGTCCAGCCAAGCGCGACCCTACCAATGAGAGCGGACAGCAGCCTTGTCGGGAAATATCAGGGCTTATTTTAACATCTGAAGCGCACTGTGTTGAAAAACCACGGCTTTGGGCTACACGTGACAGACTATGAGGACCTAACAGACACAATAGTTGCATTTCCAATATTGTTTGGGCGTGCAAATGCCTTACATGGTAGCCTAGATGCCAAGGCGAACAGACCCAGCGGGTTTTAGTCATTTGTAGCAGGCTTTTGAATAGGTATTTGAAGAAATAGCCGTTGGTGGATCCAGCAGAAAACGGTGGGGCTTGGCCCGAATGGTCAGTAGTTTGGGATGCGCGGCGGCAGACATTAAATTAAAGACATGCGTTGAGACGAGCAGTGTGTTGGGTGATCCTATGCGCTTGGCGGCATGGACACGCTAAAAAAGATGCTGCCGCCTGATGTATCAGCCACTGACTGAAGATATGAAGCATGACACCAAATTGACAATGCTATAGCAGCAAAGCTAGTCAAGCAGCCTGTGAGAGGAAAACGCTTCCAATTAGAAATTTAAGAAGAAAAACAGCAGACGTTTGAATGAAGTGCGTATTTGGAATCGCTAAAGACTGAGATGATGGATGGAGAGCTGCGTGTTCGCTGTACGTACATTGCGGCCTTGTGCGTCCACCCTGTCCCGTCCCTCGGTCGGAGCACAGCGCTGCTGCCTGGCTCGCACGCCGCGGCTGGGCACCATGGCTGCCCCGCATCTCCCGGGCCGAGAGTGCCCCGGGCAGTGCGGCCCGCACGCGCCGTCGGCCATGACGCTGCTGGCTTCCGCGGCTCATCTCCTGTGTGGTGCTGCATCGATCGGCGCGTACGCACTATTGCCAGGCGGCGGCGGCGGCGGCGGCGCCTCGTCACGCTGTCTTCAGTGTCGACGAAATTGCCGTCGGCGGCAGCCCGTCATCGGCACGCGCCGCCGCCGGCTCATGTCGGGCTGTGCTGAGCGCGGCTCGCCTGCGGCGCGGGACGAGCCCGTGGCGACGGCAGCCACCGGCGCCGGGGCGCGGCCTCGCGCCGCCGCCGCCGAGAGCGCCTGTCAATAGGGATCGGCTGATGCGCGAGCGATGGGCAGGGACGCTGCCGACGCGGCGCGCCGTTAATGGAGGGTTGGTGGGCCCGGTCTGAACGTAGCGCGGTGGCCGGCGCGCTGTAACGCGCCTTGGACGGGTCGGAGAAGCCGGGAACCGTCGGCTGTCTCGGCAAAGCCGGGAGCCTGCGGACGTCTTTGGGGAGGCTGAGGAGCATGTGCACGCCCCGGGGAGGCCGGGAAGTCTGGAGGGGCCGGTCCGGTGCGGTCCGCTCGGCTGTGCAGGCGCCGGCGGTCCTGTCGCCGGGACCGTGCGCGGACGGTCGGCGGTGGCGTCCGTGCGTGGCGGCGCCTGGCGCTCCAAAGTGCCGCTGTCGGCAGCGCACCACTCACGGCTGTAATCGGATCGGCCCGCCGCCGCCGCTGCCGCCGCCGGCTATCTCTCGCTGCCCTGCCGGTGTGGTGATGGTGTCGGCTGCCCAGCTGCCGGGAGGCGGGAGTGGCGCCGCCGCTGGCCGTCTCTCGCTGCCCTGCCTGGGTGGTGGTGGTGTCGGCTCCGCAGCTGCGGGGAGGCGGGGGGAGCGACGCCGCCGCTGGCCTTCCCTGTTCTGTCGGAGTGGTGGGTGGTGTCGGCTCCCCAGCTGCGGGGAGGCGGGGGAGCGACGCCGCCGTTGGCCCACTCTCCCTGTTCTGTCGGAGTGGTGATGGTGTCGGCTCCCCAGCTGCGGAGAGGCGGGGGAGCGACGCCGCCGTTGGCCCACTCTCCCTGTTCTGTCGGAGTGGTGATGGTGTCGGCTCCCCAGCTGCGAGGGAAGCGGCGCGGCCACGTGGCGGCCGGACCCCGCGCCGCAATAGGAAGGGCTCACGGCCTGGGCTGGGCTGATTGGTCCGCGCCGGACTATTGACTGCGTTCGGTGGCGTCCTTCAGAGTGGAGTCCCGATAAAGCTAGGAGCTGTGCTATGTGATTTTTATACCTCATTAGCATCCCACACCTGAGGTGGTAGCGCTCAGCAGTACGGCCAGAAACCTAGACTAGACGGGCCGCAGAAGTTGTGATCTTGAAACCCGGTTGGTGTAGTATTAGTCGTTTAACGAGTTTCTGCGGCGCGAAATGTGCTAAGCATTGTTAAAACGTCTTCGAAAATCCTCTGATATTAAGGTCTTGGTCGACCTTTAATGCACTGATGGTTTCACATATGCTTCGTTGAGAAAACAAACCACGGAAATGGTGGCCCAATTCTCGTAGAGTCGTAAATGCTCGTGTCCAAATTCTCGAAGCGATCGGAACGCTCTCAAACGCATCACATGCTCCCAGTGGGAATGATGTGCCTGGTTATCGACGTGTCGTCGCCCCTGCCACAGGACCGGCTTCAGTGAGAAGGAGTGGCCGATCACGGGAGGCAGCTGGGGCACCGGAGGCAACAGCTACCCGGAGATCGTCATCACCGGGTAGGCGTGTCGGCCGGGCGTCTCCAGCCCGCCCGGCGTCCTCGTGGGACCGACTTGTCACGTGACTCTTGCTAGTGACCGACGGCTCTCTTGCTATCCGGATCTCGACTGATCGATGCCCTAGCGTTTCTGACGCTGGATCTAAACGGCCATTTGGGCTCGTTATCGGAGTTCCGAAAGACGTCAGAACATACGCCCCACTTTGCTCAAACCCGGCTTATATGCTGCTCACATGCTGCGTGATGAGGCGCTGTGGCCGGTTTGGTGGTCTGCTGACCTGTGTGTGAATGCTGTTTGTGGGCGTACGTCAGCGTGCGCCGGCGCCGCACGGGGGCAGCGGAGGGGTTGGCCGTGGTCAGGAAAGCGCGGCCCAGCTGGGTGCTGATAGTGTAGTGGTTAACGCGTCGGCGTTAACCACTGCGCGTCTGGGAAACCAGAAGTACTGGGTTCGATTCCCCCACGGTGCCAGACCTTCCCGCCAGGGTGAGAGGCAGGCGACGCCATATAGCCTCAGCAGCTGAGTGCGTGGTAAAGCCCCAGTGACACATAAACACACACAGAACGCGGCCCGGGGTCGGGAGGACGCGACCCAGGGTCTCACGCCCAGGCTCGCGCCGCTCGCCGCCAGGCACGCCGACGGCAGCGTCAAGTTCTGGGATGCGACAGCCGTCACCCTGCAGGTGCTCTACAAACTGAAGACATCCCGCGTTCTGGAGAAAGCAGCGCCGCTCCCAGGTACGACACAGACCGCAGGTGGAGCTCCGCCCGCGGCTGCGGTGCGGTCGCTTGTACGTGCGACACGGCTCGCAGGTACGGAACCGCCCGCGGACCCGCTCGCAGGCAGGGCGCGGCTCCGCAGGTATGGCTGCGTAGGCAGGTGCAACACGGTTGTCAGGTGTGGCAGTGCGTGTGTTGTTTTCTCCCTGGCATGCTACAGCCTCCGACGTTTTCAGACTTGCTGATTGCATTGTTATTTTGCTCAGACCGACTGCGGCGTCTCCACCTGCTCCGCGAACTTACCTCATTAGATAAACTAACCGGGAAATGGAATTTGACCCATGTGTAGTCATATTGTCGGCGTCCTTTGTGGTGCAATATAAATTGAAGCTGTTGCTGGGAAGCACAAAGACACGGCAACTGTCGCTGTGGCTTCTGAGTGAACTCGTCTTTGTTTATTCATGTGAAGCGCTGTCGTCCATGATGCAAAGTGGTGCCTGCGTTGTTGTAAGGAAACACCGGCGTTTCATTGCGTTCGTGGCCTCTCCCGTGTTCGGAATGTGCTGCAATGCGATTGTGAGGGCTGTTGCAGCGGGGACGGCTGTCGCTGTTCGGTGGTGGCGCCCGTCACATTTAGAGAGTAACCACTAGCACCCGGTGCTGACGAGCGCGGTCGGCGGTCTCCCGCGTCTCGGGCGGTTCTGACCCGTGTGCTGACGCCCAGCCTCGCTGCGCCGCAGGACGGCGAGGCCGAGGACCAGCTGGCCGTGCAGCAGGTGGTCATCTGCCCCGAGAGCCGGCAGCTGGCCGTGGCCGGCGCCTCCTCCTACGTCATCCACTTCCGCTTCAGCAAGCACGAGAAAACATCCGAAATCCCGGTTAGTTGGGCTTCGAGCAGACGCCCGGATGTACCGCCTCTCGTCACTTGGTCAATGCATGCACTGATCGGCGTGTGTTGAGTCTGTTTTTCCACATGGGTGGCAACCGTGTTTGATAAAATTGTGAATGGTACTTTTGCTTCACCGGTGCGTGTCGTACGCTTTTAACAGTGAAAGCACTTGACGTACTGGAATGGGGCAGGTACCTGGCCAAAGACTTAGCCCCTGTCCACATCTACATCTGACATCCCCGCCCGTTCGCTATGCACGTACAGCGCCAGTGTCGATGACCTGGCCAAAGACTTAACCCCTGTCCACATCCATATCTGACGTCCCGCCCGTTCGCTATGCACGTACAGCGCCAGTGTCGATGACCTGACCAAAGACTTAACCCCTGTCCACATCCATATCTGACATCCCCGCCCGTTCGCTATGTACGTACAGCGCCAGTGTCGATGGTGACGCGCTGACGGCGAGGCGCGCGCTCTCGTGTGACGCCGCCGCCGCTCGTGCCGCCAGTGTCTGGAGATTCCGATCGTGTACGAGGCGTACGGCGATCCGGACCGGGCCTCGCCGGACGGCGAGACCTCGTCCACGCTGCGACCCGCCAACTCCATCATCGGTGACAACGGCAGAAAGGTGCGGCGGCGGCCGACCGGCGCGCTGCTGTCGTCCGCCCTCCCGAGCTGTCCGGTGTTCTCACGCGAGAACTGTCTCACTCAGCTGGGCATTACTCTGCCGCGCTCGCTCACTCTTCCCTGCTGTTTCACTCTGTTGTCGCCATTGTTGCTCGCCCACTGTCGCGAACTCGCACACTCCCGCCTACTCCTGAGCTTCCACACCATTTTGCTCCCTGCCTCTGATATAACCCTCCCCACTCACGTCCGTGCTGATCCTCTCTCGACACGCTTCACTTGCACGTGCGTGCTGAGCTGACCTTGTTTGGGTGACCTGTGTGACCCACGTGACCTGTGACGGGGCCAGGCGGAGCTGACGCTGCCGGTGCGGTGTCGGACGGGGCCGGTGCGCCGGGGGCCCGGCTACCAGGCCGAGCTGGTCTGCGTCACGCCGTCGGTCAACGGCGAGCCGCCCGGCGCCATCAGCAGTCTCGCCATCAACTCCGCCTACGGCCTGTGAGTGCCACTGCGACTCGCCCGGCCGATGTGATGACCGCAACTTCGCCGGGGCCGACACGCCTTTGTACACCTTGAACTCTTGCTGTAGCCTGCCGGTACGCCGTTAACTCGGGATTGCTGCGAGTTTTGAGTTCTCAATTTGCCTTGTCGATGGCGTGCAGATCAACGGGCAATATTTGTGCGAGTGCACCAGGCCTCGTCACACCCGTGAGCCAGACAGCCGGGCGCTGCGCCGGCTGAGCGACCGCCTGACACGCCTGGCGGGGCCGGCGCGTGCTGACGCCGGCTGGCTGGCGGCCGCAGGATGGCTTACGGCAACGAGAGTGGCCTGGTGATCGTCGACACGATGCAGCGGACCTGCCTGCTGAACCTGGGCACGCCGGACCTGTACGGGCCGGCCGACCCGTACCAGCGCGCGCCACGCTCGCCCAAGCAGCGCGCCGACGAGGACCTGGGCCTGTCGCCGGACTCCGAGCAGGTCAGCCGGCGGGCGGCGAGGTCCGGTCCCGCGCTGCCGCCCCCCGGGCGCCTTCATCCGCGCGGCCCAGCCGTGACGCTGATGCAGTGACGCGCTCGCCGCTCAGAAATAGCTAACGGGCGCGCAGCGGCTCATCCCGGCTGCGTTTTATGGGCGGCTGGCTCTGCGGGCCGGACGGCGGCACGTGTGTAAAAGTCGGGCTTTACGTCCGGCGGGCCGGCTGCCCAGTGGGTCGGCGCGGTGACGGGCCGTTTCGCGAGCGCCGCCGCCCAGCCGCCTACATTTGGGAGCGGCCCGGCCCGGCGCCCGGCGGTGGGGGCGTGTCGGCTCCCGCGGGCCCGCCAGCAGCAGCCGCCGCCCGGCGGATTAGTTATACTGGTGACGGAGATGCGCCGCCGCTTGGACAGAAAGCGCCGTCGTCCGCCGTCAACTGAAAATAGGGTGCCGGCGAGTAGGTGTTTGCTTTAAACTCCCATTCGCTTGACATTAAGACTCGTTTTCCGCACCGTTGTCCACCTGATAAATGGCGGACGCGCGCTAGGCTGGCCCTGCCGTGCTGGTCGCTGCTCGCTGCTCGCTGCTCGGCCTGCGCTCACTGCTCCAGGCGGCGGCGGGGCGGCCACTCTGTTCCAGCCCACAAAAGCGCAGCCTGTGTGTCTGGCGGTCCGGCCCCCTGGGAGCGCGCTGTGGGGGCGGGGGCCGGGGCGTGGGCCGATTTACGGTGGCAGGCTGAATTATCCAGGCAGCCCCGGTGCCGGCGAACGGCATCGTCAATAGGTCTCCATAAATACGGAATGTTGGCCAACGTCGCTGCCAAACTGCAGCCATGTCGACAGACGGAGACCAATGCCTGATGGACTGGCTGCGCTGGTCGGCCGGCACCCGATCATGTCGGGGCTAGACTGGTGGCGGGGCTCGTCTGCCGATAGCGGAATGGGATGAGAAGGTCTAGATTATGGCTCTATTTTCACATCGACAACGAACGATCGCCACCTGCTCAAAACATGTCTGGCAGCTGGTTAGAAAGGAAGGCATGTGGAAGCTACATTTTGGCAAGGGCGTGGTGTGTGGGAGCGGGGTTGTCCCGGTGGCCGCGCGGACCTGGCCGGTCGGCAGACGGGCGGCTCTGGCTGGCGCCGCCCGAAACGCTCCGTCACGTCGCTCGCGAACAGGTCGGGCCGGTGAGACGCGGGCTGTGTCTGTGTGAACGGCGGACCCCTGTCGCTGGGTGCGCCCGGGGAGCCTGTGGTCCTTGGCGCCGGCAGCAGCCGGCGGCGGGCGGCGGTGACTTCACGCAGCGCGGAGTGCGCCGGTGGTACCGTGCTGTGATTCCGTCTCCTGTGTGGCTGGGGTGCAGTCGTCGCGCGGCAATCACGGACATAGCGCGGTCTGCTGTCAACTGTTATCATCTCTCCCCGGTGTAGTACGGCGGGGCACCTCATTGACATTGTCTCACTTGCATCTAATGTTCTACCAATGCGAACAAATGCATTGCGTTGAAATGTCGCGGACTTTGGACTGAAGCCCCACATTGGCCGTCTCTTGGGTGTTGAATGTTTCATTGAGCCTGGCGCGTATAGTGCGATTGCTCAAGTGGTCCTGGGCGAACTAAAATGAAGTTTTATAGGATCTCTGGTGGGCGGGTGTGACGTGCTTGTCGCGTTGGTCCCCGTCGCTCTGGCCGAGGCCCATTACACGTAGCAAACGCCGGTGTGTGATATTGGCGTGTTGTTTGTCAACTGCTGTGACGTACTGTGATTTCGCCGCCTGCTGTCAGTGACACCTATTACTGTTCGTTGTGAGCTGTGCGATGTGGACACGGTCAGTTACAGCCAGCACCAATGTCACCACGGCGCGTGATCAGCCAATACCAATGCCACCACGGCGCGTGACGTGGGGTGTGCTGGCAGCGCCCCGCCGCGTGATGCCGCCTGCCGTGTGGTCCGGTGCGCCACGTGACGCCGCCTGGCTTCCGGCAGATAAACGGGCTGTGCCTGTCGCCGACGGGCGGGAAGCAGCCGGGCGGCGGCCAGCGTGTCGCCGCGGCCGCCGGACGCCCGCCGCTCCCGCTCGCAAGGTACCGCTCGCCGCCTGGTCAAGGCGCACAGTGTGATGGAGGAGGCCGGCGCCGCCGCCGGCCGCCGGCGCCGGCCCTACGCTGCGGCTGCGGCGCGCCCGACAGTGCAAGAGTTTCGGTACAGCAGGCCTCGGCCGCCCCCACTGGACGTGTGGCTGTGTGCCGACCCTGGCACGTGGGCGCGGCGGCGCCCCGCCTGTCGTGGCTGCCCCTCACCCTGACGCCCGCTCGCTGTGTCCGGCGGTTAGCGCCAGTCGCGTGTAGGCCGTGTACCCTGTCACTGGCTGTTGTGGCGCCTCCGGCCGGCCCGCTCGCCTTGTCCCTCTCAGCTGTACATATCGATGTGGGCGGGCCCCGGCTCGCCAGTCGCGCCGGAGCTGCCCCGGTCAGCAGGTCGCCACCGCGGCGCCGGCAGCACACCGGCGCCGGCCGAGGAGCCGCCGGCCGCACGCCGCTCGATGTCCCACGGCGCGGACCGGGCCGGGGCGGCGGCGCGCCGCCGCAGTCCGCCCGGCTCGCACTTGGTGTGCTGTCGCACCTAGCTGTACGCTCGTGGTGGGGGGCAGAACAGGCGTCGGCCACTGCCGAGTAGGGAGCGGCTTCGCGGGCGAGGAGGCAGGTGACCCGTCGCCGCTGACATGGAAGCGGATCGGCCCCGCCCTGGCTCGTCTGTACCCGGCCAATCGTGTCGTCACACGGCAGCCGCGTCCCTGTGGGAACGCCCGTCACGGTCCCGTGCGACCTTCAGCCATGTCTGCCGTGTGACACAGCGGTGTGCGGATGCCGCGCCGCCGCCAGCCGGACCGGCGGCGTCCGCCCGGCCGGGCCCGGCCGCGTCGCTCGCCCGTTCGGCCGATGGATCACCGACCGACCGGAATCCAGATGGGGCCCGTTGCAGAGTCGTGTGCATCGGCCGCGCAGCTCTGCCTGGCCAATTCATGGCTGGGCCCGGGGCGATGTGGAACGCACGCGCGGCCCGGCGGCCAACTGGCGTCCCAGCGGCGCCGTTTCGGTCGGCGGTCTCACCTTTTGACCGCCGCTGGGGGCGGTATTGATTGGCCGGCGTCAGGCGGGACCGGTTCACGGCGCGTTAGACAAGCTGGCTCATGGAATGACAGACGAGCGGACCGGGTGTGTCGCAGACGGCTCCAGCAGCGCCGGGAGGGTGTGTGGTAGACGAGTTCAGCAGCGCCGGGAGGGTGTGTGGTAGACGAGTTCAGCAGCGCCGGGAGGGTGTGTGGTAGACGAGTTCAGCAGCGCCGGGAGGGTGTGTGGCAAACGAGTTCAGCAGCGCCAGGAGGGTGTGTGGCAGGCGACTCCGGCAGCGCCGGGCGGGTGTGTGGCAGACGGCTCCAGCAGCACCGGGAGGGGTGTGTGGCAGACGGCTCCGGCAGCGCCGGGAGGGTATGTGGCTAGACGGCTCCAGCAGCGCCGGGAGGGTGTGTGGCAGACGGCTCCAGCAGCGCCGGGAGGGTGTGTGGCAGACGGCTCCGGCAGCGCCGGGAGTGTGTGCAGACGGCTCCAGCAGCGCCGGGAGGGTGTGTGGCAGACGGCTCCAGCAGCGCCGGGAGGGTGTGTGGCAGACGGCTCCGGCAGCGCCGGGAGGGTGTGTGGCAGACGGCTCCAGCAGCCGGGAGGGTGTGTGCAGACGGCTCCAGCAGCGCCGGGAGGGTGTGTGGCAGACGGCTCCAGCAGCGCCGGGAGGGTGTGTGGCAGACGGCTCCAGCAGCGCCGGGAGGGTGTGTGGCAGACGGCGCAGCAGCGCGGAGGGTGTGTGTCGCGACGGCTCCAGCAGCGGGGAGGGTGTGTGGCAGACGGCTCCAGCAGCGCCGGGAGGGTGTGTGGCAGACGGCTCCGGCAGCGCCGGGAGGGTGTGTGGCAGACGGCTCCAGCAGCGCCGGGAGGGTGTGTGGCAGACGGCTCCGGCAGCGCCGGGAGGGTGGTGGCGGACGGCTCCAGCAGCGCCGGGAGGGTGTGTGGCGGACGGCTCCGGCAGCGCCGGGAGGGTGTGTGGCAGACGGCTCCGGCAGCGCCGGGAGGGTGTGTGGCAGACGGCTCC